CCCCCTCCTGCCAGGCCAAAAAGGTCCCAAGCTGTTCTTTATAACCCTCCTCTTCAGATAGCCAGGCCTCTGCACCCAATTGTCACCAGGGAAACCAGATAATAGCTGACAGGGTTTCCCCAGAGACAATGCAAGGGTCTGGGGGAGAGACAGGGTGGGATAAAGACCATCACTTTCTGATAGTTGTACATCTCAATATGAGGAGCAGTGTGTGTGCAGTGTGGATTTGTGAGTGTGGATGTTCATACAAAGATAGGATTGCAATAGGGACGCAGGGTGAGATATTTGTGTAGGCTGACCAGGAAGTTTGCATCGGAGTTTGGTTCTTTCGACAAATGAAATGAAATTCTTCCTTTGGATTCGGGTTTATTTCAGGAATAAGACCTTTGGCGAACACAAGTTTATGATACTTACATGATTTGTTCGGAAGACAAATCACCACCACTTTTATCATTTTTTAAGAGTGATTTAGAAATTCAGAAAGCAAACACTACCACCACTTACTGTAGCTAATGCGTAATAACGTTATTGTCTCAACAACCAATTGAGTCTCATTTAGACACTTGTTAGCAACAGCCTTTCTTAGCACACATTAAAGCATCCAAATGAACAGGTGGGGTATTTAGTGAACAATGTAATGTCAAATATAACAAAATGTTAAAATCTCATGTGTTAACAGCTGAGCTTATTTCAGGCATCTAAACAAGGAACAATAAAACTTTGACTTAGATATGAGAGGACCAAAAATGCCAAAAAAGCTGACTTCTTTTCAGGTTCTGACTTATGTGAACATAATTATCTTTAGGTGTAGCAACATAAAACATGTTATCAGTTCCAGATAACTGGGCTAACTCCGCCTACTGAAGAAGATCATCAGAAGCTGTATCTTGTGATCAGATCAAAGTGAAGCATGTTACACCAGCTGAAAATCATGGAACAAAAGAAGAGCCGTCTGAAAAATCACACACCTTTTTTTTCAAAGTCTTAAAAATAGGCAGTAATTAGATCTCAGTGGAGAATTAAAAATAAATGATTTCTACTTTATCAATGTGGTCCCCCCTGCAGTCACCAGCCTTCCTGCCTGTCTGCCTCTCTCTCTGTTCTGGTCTAAATTTAAGCAGCAGAACACACAGAACCCTAGACTCATCTCATGTTTCCTCAACAAATAACACGCAGGGTGGGCTATCACTTGTATGAAAAGGCATCTGTGTCAAACACTGCATGTCTCCATTAGCAGCTTTTGTCTGGAATCTAGAGCAGACATGGGATGGATGGGGGAGTAAGACATACTAATAGACTTAACACTGACTTGACATGCAGGCTGCTGTTATGTACCATGTCTAGACAAGTTTGTTGTGCACATTGCGTAACACTGGCAGTACTGTCCAATTCAAAATATAAGCAGTTAAGGACACTGGGGTGGAACATTGATTTGTTTTATTATAAACATCGTTAGAAAAGAAGCTGAGGAAATCTCCATGATGTGATGAGTTAAAATGAATACAAACCATCCCATAAAAACAATAAAATCAGATAAAAACATATACAAAACAATGTTAATGTTATACAAGAGCAGACTTAAATCAAAAATATATAATCTTTGTTGACATTTTGTGTGTTAAGATCTGTATTTTGAAAGTGACCTTTTCTGTATTTGTTAACATGACGGGATAAAGAAAGGTCAAAGGTCAGTTTGGGTAGTGTATATTTTCACACACCAAATTTACTTTTTGTTAAAAACACTTCATCGTTGGCTCGTGCCAGCACTGTATTACATTTCACTTATGTAAAATAGTGAGTTGGGTTTTGGTTTTCCAAAGACGCTGTTATTCAGAATAACTTTTGTTTCATTAGTTTGGTTAGTTTGGCATTTCCATGTTGTACAGCCCCTAAATGTAAAGAGACCCTTTTGTCAATGGAAATGA